TATTCGAGATGATTCCCTCATCTCCTTTTTATCATCGCACCTCCCGCCATCGGAGCAGAGTTCATCCATATTATCTGGAACCGCTGCGTTCATCGACAGTGCGTTTCCAAAGACCTTTTTTGCCACGTACCATCCGGCTTTAGAATGAACTCCCCTCCACGGTGTTTTCCGAGCGCTATGACATGTCCTTCTTCAAACGAGGCTTGCGGAGAGTACTTTATGGTAGGCAGCGGCTTGGCTCTGCCCCTGGCATTGCTGACGTCCATGAGCGACGGTGACCACTTACCATCAGGTGGGCCGTATGCTCGTCTGCCTACAAAGGCAATAAAAAAAAAAAAGATAGATTAGATGTTCACAGGATAATCCCAAAAAAAAATTAGATGTATCGTCTCAAGTACCAGATCTGTGAAACGCGAATCCTCTTAATTACCATACTGTACCTAGATATCACGGGCAATTGAGTAATCGTACCTGCCGCTATATATATGAAACGAACGCAAAGTTCAGTTCAAAAAGATTTATCTTCAAGTTACAAAAGTTTTTGTTTAATACGTGCATTATCGTGCTTAAGCAATTAATGAGTGAGGAGTGTGGTTGGTTTGCTAACGTTACCTTGTTACCTTGTGGAAATTAGTGCATACCTGTTACTGGGTCGTCGAATGATTAAGTTCGAGCAGGTCTAGTCCTTAGTTCACCTACAGACCACCAAAAACAATCGTCGATCACATACAGGGAAATAAAACCTATTTCTCTTCAGTTATTAAGGTACGTATGGTAAGGTATGTATATAAGTATATATTTTTATGTAAGTTTATTAAGATATAGCACCGTCCAGTTCACTTATTCCTCTCCCTGCAAGGTTGCCTGGAAGAGATCGCTTTCAACGATAAGGCCGCCGATTTATATCACCGACCGATTTATTTGTTTTATTAGTTTACTCTGTACATAATATGGTGTTAAATAAAGAGTTATATTATTATTATTATTAAGGTACCAGTATCATTAATATAATTCTCTAAAAATGCTTTATATGTGGATAGTTTTTTTTTTAAATCAATAATTTAAAAAAATAATTAAGCTATTAAATTTAATTATTTAAATTATTGCATTAATTATATGCGTGTCTATACTTATATAAGTACTTCACTGCGTCTTGTTCCACTAAACATTTGTTTAGTGAAGCAATTTTTTTGTTCCGATATTGAATGACACGCCGTAATATCGATGCGGTAGTAGATTCTGCGAAGCGCTACTCGTGCTAGTGCCAGTGTTAGCAATCTTTCTCAAGTTGAGCCCGTGAGCTCACCTATCCATCCGGACGTAGCTACCAGCGGACAGGTAGGGAAAAAATCGCTGTCTAGTTTGGCCTCCTACACGCTGTGGGTTCTTGTTTTAGGTCAGGCTCTGCGGTGTGCCGGTACCACGAATGGATTTCTTTACGTTTTGCTAAGAGCTGTGTTATTTAAACGGGTTCTGTGTTTAGATAATATGTCACTACGAGCTGTAAACATGGTAGGTCGTATGAAGCCTGTGACTTGGCAAACTTGTTCGATTGATCGTATCACGGCGTCAGGGCTCGATCCCGGTCAAGCTCTTAATTATATAGGTAATACATTGTAGGTTTTGAATGGATGGATTCATCTGCCAATGAAAGTCCCTTTAGAATCGGAGATTAGACCAGACAGACAGGCCCTATCTGTTTGTGTGGATGAAAATAATATTCATATGACTGCTTTGTGGCACAATGAGACAGGACGGCGGTACCAAATCGTGCAGGTTCACGGCCGATCACGATAATACCCAGAAATAAACGCTAGACTCGGAATGACTAAGAACTGACTCATATACACTGAGCCACGCTTTATTTATTACTATTTCAAAGCCTGAGTGACAATCAATAGCGTTGGGTCTTCATATTTTATACGGTATATTCAGTGTCTTGGTACCAGCACCCCGCTCACTTCCACCATGGAGCAGTAACGTGATTCGGTTCGAAAAGTTGGATTGGACGTGGTACTGTTAAAACTGAGACTTACAACTCATATCTCAAGGTGCTTGGCGACATTTATGTTACTGGTATCTATGGATCGTTCGCCCGTCGATATAATAAAAAGCATTTATGTTAAACATTACTTAAAATGTTCATAATGACCTCAACAACAACTGTCGTCCGCTTAATTAACATAAGAACCGGTCATTCATTCATATGGCACGTATTATGATATCAGCTGTCATCCGAATTAGTATTATATCTCTGTACTGTTTAGGACTCGTTTTGGGTGTCGTGAAAGTTTCTACGAGCCTGTTATATCGGGTGTATCTCAAAAATAAGATGATTAGCACGAGCGATGGCCACTATATCCGGTATCACGAATATATTCGTTAATTGTTTCTCTTGTTAATCGAAAGCTTAATTTTTGGAATGCTATCTTTTTATTTTTTACTGGTGGTAGGACGTCTTGTGAGTCCGCAAGGGTAGGTACCACCATCCTGCCTATTTCTGCCGTGAAGCAGTAAAGCGTTTCGGTTTGAAGGGCGGGGCAGCCGTTGTACTGTTAAAAGTGAGACCTTACAGCTGTTGTCTCAATGTGGGTGGCGGCATTTACATTGTGGATGTCTATGGGCTCCGGAACCACTTAAAATCAGGTCAGCCGTGCCTCGTCCACCCATCCAAGCAATAAAAAAAATGAATATTGAATGAATGAATTTTTTTTAAACCTAAAATTGTGTGCTTTTGCTTATCTGACCAAATATTTGAGTGGACAAAGCAAATAAGGCCTCATCGAGGGTATCTTGTTCAAATCTTGGGTAAACGTCGAATAACTTTGGGTATACACGAGAAAGATAGGTACATTTTAGAATTCTTTTCTCTGCAGCCCAACAAACTCTTATCTATATATTAATACGTGAAGCAAAAACTTTGTATCCCCTTTTTACGAAAATTGCGCGGACGGAGGAGTATGAAATTTTCCACACTTAAAGAGAATATAGAGAAGAAGTGCACAATGCTAATATTTTTTTAAAATAATGCATAAAAGATACATTAAATCAATAAAGAAAACATTACACATACTACATACCATGTATTTGACGCACACACGCATGCATACTATTTATTGTCAAACTTTTGTTCTTGGCGTCTGTTGTCAAATTGAGAATAGATTAAATATTGTTTGCCTTTGTTAATATTTTTATAGCGTAGTCTTGGCGAAATTTGTCATTATAGAAGTATAAAATACAATCATAATAGTGTACATACAAACTTACAATTCCAATTATTTAGAGTCGAATTTCGACTACTGCAGGACCTCTAGTATTTATTATCGCAGTTCATAAACATCACGGTACAGATACCGCCACCATACAGACATGAGATCGGAATCTGAGTTGCATTGTGTTGAATGTAAAGGTGTCTCAAGCCCATTTAGCGCCCGTGTGCATTCATTACCCTCCTCCTCCTCCTTCAGTCGATTGCTTATTGTTGAGCATCGTGATGCGTCTGTGACCTTTTTTGTAATTTGTAGCCACTTATGTCGATCAGTGGCCAAGTGAAGCGCATGCTCAGTCTCGCGTCCAGATGCTCGGACACTTGGTCACTCTATCTTTTTTGGCTCCGACCTCTGGATCGTCTTCCATCCACTAATAAACGACTGGGCAAAATTAGAAAAGTACAAATATTGCAGGTTCATTGATAATGCCGAGGCCTGCGCTCCCAAACATCGCTACGCCATAAGTAAACATAGGTAATTCCGCAATTGAAGGCGAAATGACTAATTGTGTCGCAGCTTAAAAAGCTAGATAGGCATACCAACCAGTGGGCTTATAGAGGCCCTACTGACAGTACTCAAGATTGAACTTTAAAGAGTTGGAGCTAGTAAAGAGATATTTGGGTGACTTCGGGCGGGGGTAATGGGGAAGTATCGGCTGGATTAGATGAGCTATTTTTTTACCTGACACTATTGACATTGTTATTGAACTGCTAAGCCACGGATACTGGTGTACAGAAGTCATCATCCTCTTTTTGGTCGCTTAGTAATTCATACCCCGTTTAGCCGGTTCGTCGGGTTAACCAGTGCATTTAATAAATACTTCGTATCTCGTGTTCCAAACGAGACTGCGATATTTTTCATCAGATAAAACATATAGGCCGTCGAATGACCACGTTGTCTGCGAATGTATTCGATGATTGCCCTCCGAGGTACTACGTACGTTACAAATACTAAAAACTGAGCGTCCTTATCAATGCGATAAGTTTGTTCATTGATAACGCACGTATCCTTGCTTCTTACGACGCCCGTTTCCTTATCATCTGTTTGTATGTTTTCATGGTAAATCGTAAATGAAACCTTCGACACGCGTGTTCGTTTTGTGAAGATTCTTCTTATTTTGTCAATTATACGACTTTTTGCGACCAATAGCTCGATTGTATTGGTGAGAATGTTCCCCGCGGAAGGGCTTTTTGTGTCGTAAGACGCTTTGGCCGATATTAACCTTGAATCTTTTTTTTTTATTTATTGCTTAGATCGATAGACGAGCTCACAGCCCACCTGATGTTAAGTGGTTACTGGAGCCCATAGACATCTACAACGTAAATGCGCCACCCACCTCGAGATATAAGTTTTAAGGTCTCAGTATAGTTACAACGGCTACCCCACCCTTCGAACCGAAACGCATTACTGCTTCACGGCAGAAATAGGCAGGGTGTTGGTACCCACCCGCGCGGACTCACAACAGGTCCTACCACCAGTAATTACGCAAATTATAATTTTCTGTGGGTTCTGTGTTTCATTTCTGTAGGTAGATGTTAATTTTACTAGAATAGGTAGGGGGCGGGGGGGAGGACCACTGATTACCGCTAAACGGTTGAGCTGGCTCCGCTAATGAAGCATACGTTTGACACGACCCTGGTGCGTACCCGCGCGGACTCACAAGAGGTCCTACCACCAGTAAATCGCTACTTCGCAATGAGGATCAGACTAAAATGACTACGTCCATTCCAGGTCTCGGCAGCGCTCAGCTGGCGCTGGCATCGAGCATGGAGCAGTTCGAGTTCGCCTGCATCGGTGCATCCATGACGGAGGACGAGCGCGTTATAGGACGCTCCCTGCACCACTTCGCCCATCTAATAAGGACCATAGAGGAAGAGAGGGAACGAATGGTGAGTTACGGGCAAACTCTCAATATTAATATTGTTTTACTGGTGGTAGGACCTCTTGTGAGTCCGCACGGGTAGGTACCACCACCCTGCCTATTTCTGCCGTGAAGCAGTAATGCGTTTCGGTTTGAAGGGCGGGGCAGCCGTTGTAACTATACTGAGACCTTAGAACTCATATCTTAAAGTGAGTGGTGGCATTTACGTTGTAGATGTCTATGGGCTCTGGTAACCACTTAACACCGGGTGAGCCGTGAGCTCGCTCAACCAACTAAGCAAAAAAAAACAATTTACGTACTGATAATTGAAGATGTAGATGGTAAAATGGTGTTTGAAGTTTATCGCAGGACATGTCGTTAGACTATTCGCCCTTTTATTCAAAAATTATAAGCTAATTTCATGATGCGAAGTGATGTCTTCTTCTTCCTAGCGCTTTCTCGGTCTAGTGCCCAGGGTCCGCTCTCCTACTTAAACTTTTCTACTTTGCCTGGTCTCGGCATCCTTCTGAGTGAGGTTAATATATGTTAAATAAAATTAACATTACGTAGCAGATATTAAGTTAGAAATCAACTTGAAACATCAATACATATTCATAACAGTGAAACCCGATCGTGTTTTGCTGTTTTACCAAATTTATCTTTTTATTTCTACTATTATTAATCGACATACGCCCAGAACCAATAACTAATATATTCGATTTTGTTTCTTTTATAATGAAAGTTCATTTTTCAATCACAAACAGGGAATATTGTGACACTTGTCGTCGACGTTGGAAAATTAATTAAATCAACTAGAGGTCCCGCAGTAGTCGAAATTCGACTATAATTAATTGGAATTGTAAGTTTGTACACTATTATGATTGTATTTTATACTTCTATAATCACAAATTTCGCCAAGACTACACTATAAAAAATATTAACAAAGACAAACCATATTCTATTCTCAATTTGACAACAGACGTCAAGAACAAAAGTTTGACAATGAATAGTATGCATGCGTGTATGCGTCAAATACACGGTATGTAGTGTGTGTAATGTTTTCTTTATTGATTTAACGTATCTTTTATGCATTATTTAAAAAAAATATTGGCATTGTGCACTTCTTCTCTATATTCTCTATAAGTGTAGAAAATTTCATACTCCTCCGTCCGCGCAATTTTCGTAAAAAGGGATACAAAGTTTTTGCTTCACGTATTAATATATAGATTATTTAAATGCGAGAGTACTCGGATATCGAACAAGTTTCAAGTATGCGCGTTCATGTTTATCAACATTCGTGATTTTTTTTTCTCTCTCATGAATAGGGTCATCACAATCTATTTATTCAAGATGTCATCATCGTAAATTTCATTACAATACAAGTAATTGCCAAACTACAAATAATGTTAAATAAATTAATTTGAAATTTCAGCGTTGCTATGCCAATTGTATTTGCTATTCAATATCTTACTATACGCATAGTAAATAGGTACGAACCCAGTTGCGACACATGCCTGATACGGTATCTACGGTATTTAATTTTATTTTTTATTGTATTCATTAGACGCCAATACGTCACTATTAACCAAATTTCGGATCACTAGCGCACAAAGCATTTGGTACTACTATAAGAACAATACTAAAAATAAACAACAGTAATATAAAAAAAATACGAACATTTTTATTTTTTTATTGCTTAGATGGGCGGACTAGCTCGCAACCCACCTGATGTTAAGTGGTTACTGGAGCCCATAGACATCTACAACGTAAATGCGCCACCCACCTTGAGATATAAGGTCTAAGGTCTCAGTATAGTTACAACGGCTGCCCCGCCCTTCAAACCGAAAGTCATTACTGCTTCACGGCAGAAATAGGCAGAGTGGTGGTAACTACCCGCGCAGACTCTCAAGAAGTCCTACCACCAGATTTACTTATGGACTTATGAGATAAATTAATTGCAGTGTAGGCAACCCTAATGTTCGAAACGCCTACCGGCGGTGGGAGTCGCCCCGTTCGTGATTAGAAAATACTGTATTCACAATTAACTGGTTTTCTTAATGGTGTTACTTTCGTTGACCAATGTCAAGGGATCTGCAGTTAGACTCGTTTGCCAATATGTACGGTTATAAAAAAAAACGGCCTTGATAAAGTGGAAACTACTAACCAATATATTTCCAAAAGGCGGGAATTTGTAAGCTATAAGACAAAAGGCTGAGTTTATGTTTAATGTTTTTTTTTAATTTTAATCGGTTCATGAATATAAAATTATACGTCCTTGTAAACAACCACGCGCTGTATTATACCAATATGCCTAGTGTTTAAAACTTGCCTGATCGCGGTCATAAATAGATTAAAATGTAAATTGAGGTATAATAATAAGTATTGAAAAAAAAACCGAAAATAAATGTAAATATATTTAGAATTTCATCCAAACTGTAACCTAGCGTTAAACATTCACGAAAAATGGAGAAAATAGGTAGTTTCAGGTAGATGATACTTGTAAAAATTTTGGTTACCAGTTACTACTTTTAACTGGTGGTAAGTCCTGTTGTGAGTCCGCACGGGTACGGCCGCCACCCTACCTATTTCTGCCGTGAAGCAGTAATGCGTTTCGGTTTGAAGGCTGTGGCAGCCGTTGTAACTATGCTGAGACCTTATAACTTACATAATATATCTCAAGGTGGGTGGCTGCACTTACGTTGTAGATGTCTATGGGTTCTAGTAATCACTTAACACCAGGTGGGCTGTGAGCTCATCCAACCATCTAAGCAGTAAAAAAATAAAAATGCTAGTTACACAAAGCTGTCAATTCACATTGAGCTTCCTTGTCATTCAGGTATGTCTTATTCAAACGAAATTCGAATTAAGCTTAAATTATGATTCTTGTAATCATTGTTTCCGGCCACATAGCACGAAGAGAGGACGGTCGATGGGGCAGAAAGATCCTGGAGTGGCGACCACGTACTGGCAAGCGCAGTGTGGGACGGCCACCTACTAGATGGACCGACGACCTAGTAAAAAGCGCTGGGTCTCGTTGGTTGCAGGTGGCAATGGACCGGTCGCACTGGAAATCTATTGGAGAGGCCTATGTTCAGCAGTGGACCGCGATAGGCTGAAATGATGATGATGATGAATCATTGTTTCCATTGGTCAATTTCCACGACATTGACAGATTGTTTTCGAAATTAATGAAGAAGAATGTGTTATTTGTTCTACACACACTCATCACTTTTAATTATTATTCTCATAATCCTCACGCGGGTCGGCTGGAAGAGATTTCTTAAAGAAATAAGCAGCGCCTTTGTACATAATTTTCCTATTACTCTGTATGTACTATGTCTTCTTTTCTGTGTGTACATAAATAAATTAATAAAAGAAATAAAGAGCGAGGTGTTTTGTCCGCTTTCTTTAAAAAAAAAGAAGGTTATATAGGAACTAACTTTTGTGTGTGTGTGTGTCAAATTTTAATGATTCAGTTATTTATGTACCACACGTGAATACTAGTCGGTGATGGAATGATAGCGTAACAATCAAGCCGTTAATAAATTATTATTTATTTAAATGAAAGTAAAGTTTACTAGAAATCCTTGAGCTTTTTGTGTGACGAGAACGCGCATCTGATTTGCACCTGAACAATTAACATAATAACGACCAATGTTCGTTTTACAAAACATACAGTTTAAACCACTAAATGATAAGCCCACTGAGTTTCTCGCCGGATCTTCTCGGTGGGTCGCGTTTCCGATCCGGCGGTAGATTCTGCGAAGCACTGCTCTTGCTAAGGCATTGTTAGCAACACTTCCGGCTTCAGCCCCGTGAACTCACCTACACGTCAAGAAGCTGAAATAGCCACTAAAGGCTATCAGCATAGGTAAAGAAAAAAAACTAAAAAATTATTTACAATCATTCGATAACAACAGTTACTGGTGGTAGGACCTTTTTGTGGGTACGCACGGATAGGTACCACCACCCCGCCTATTTCTGCCGTGAAGCAGTAATGCGTTTCGGTTTGAAGGGTGGGGCAGTCGTTGTAACTATACTTGAGACCTTAGAACTTATATTTCAAGGTGGGTGGCTCCAGTAACCGCTTCACACCAGGTGGGCCGTGAGCTCGTCCACCCATCTAAGCAACAAAAAAATAATCTAATTGATTCCCGTTTGAATACGTGCGCATGTGTATTAATGTGAAACGTAAACAAACGTGTGTGACCTTCGGAAACACTTTCTATAATGTCGTTCGTCCACTTTTACTGGCCCGTCCGGTCGGTCGGCTCGCCAGGGCTGCGCGGCGCTGACATAATTAGGCGGTTGAATAACCAGGTGAGGTGCCGACCGCAGGTGGACGGGCCAGAGCCGAAGTCAGGGTATATTTTACTTGAACCTTTGTAAAGGAGTGAATAACGAGTGTTTTTCTTTATTTATTTATTTTATTGCTTAGGTGGGTGGACGAGCTCACAGCCAACCTGTTGTTAAAAGTCCATGGGCATCTACAACGTAAATGCGCCACCCACCTTGAAATATAAGTACTAAGGTCTCAGTATAGTAACAACGCCACTTCGATAAAGCGGCACGACACGAGAACCCTCTCATCGTGGCCGCCGGTAACTACATTCCCGATCCTGCGGACAGAATGGAAAGCAGTCGACGTCGCCCAAAACACGTCATCTCGGATCCTCCCGATCCACTAACGGTGCTTTTAGGTACCTCAAGCACCAGTCATTGTTCTCGTCGAACCCGTCGCTTGCGACGAAGGGCTCGGCGAGTAAATTAACCCACAGACACAGCCCACTGAGTTTCTCGCCGGATCTTCTCAGTGGGTCGCGTTTCCGATCCGGTGGTAGATTCTGCGAAGCACGGCTCTTGCTAGGGTTCGTGTTAGCATCGTCGTCAGGTTTGAGCCACGTGAGCTCACCTACAAACGTTAGGGCGAAGCTGAAATAGCCTCTCAAGGCTATCAGCATACGTAGGAAAAAAAAAAAAGTAACAACGGCTGCCCTACCCTTCAGACCGAAATGCATTACTGCTTCA